ATAGGGTAAGTCCAAGTAGCAAAACTGGAGAGTAGGCCTTAACAACAGTTCACTACTAGTGTATTAGGAGAGCAGATCTGATCATGGTGTCAGGAAATCTGTTCCTGATTATGGGGTGTTTAAACCTTGGAACCACAGAGAAGACATGGTCTACCCATGCAAGCTTCAGTAGTAGGTTACTAGCCCCCAAGGTAGGAGTCAAGTGTATAGGTCAGGAAACCATGAGTCTTCAGCTTTACTGTTAATCACACTCACGTGACAAGCCAAAAACTCAGTTTTCCCTGTCCACACGAAAACACTGGAAACAGAGTTTCTAAAAATCTTCACCCTGGTCAGAGTTTTCCAAAAGCTCCATTTTCAGTGACCTAAAACGACGTTTCCATGTGGACAAAAGGCCAAAACGCATAGAAAGAGCTGTTTTTAAAAATACCCATGTACATGTGGACAGGGCCTGGAACTATTTGATGATCAAAAAAGCCATTTCAGCTGTAGTTCCATCATGCATTTCAACAACAAAGTGATGCATTTACCCTTCTCTCTATTGCTGAACAGAGAGGCCGGAGTTTATTAAGCCCATCATGTTCGGAATGTACCCATTTACCCAAAGCACAGTCTAGTTTACTGTACACTCACAGAACAACACACTGTAAGTTCATATTATGACAGACTGCTGGTGGCAACAAGCTCCGTCCAGCTCCACTCATCATGCAGCAACCTTGTTTCACAGTAATGGTAGAGAAAAGAAACAGCCCGTACACACTGTTCCTTCTGTGACCCTACAAAGCACCTGAATCACTGAGGTTTGTAAACACAGCTGCCCCAATATCCTTTATTGTACCATAAAGCATTTGCCTCAGATATGTGCATGCAAGCCGTGCACAAGACAAACAGGGCGTGAATGTGACCTGGTTAAGAAAGGGCTGTGTACTCACTGGGATGTAGAACGTGTTCATCTTGGAATCTTCATTGGCAGTGAAGAGCATACCTATCAATGATACACAGGATGATGAGGATGGAAGCAGGGCAGAAGTTAAAAGAGCTCATCTGTGACGTAAACACTGTCATGTATATTTGAAGGTCCTATTACAGTTCATAATGAAACAGGCATGATAAACAGCAAAGGTTGCCAGTTAACATTTGAATTTGAGGAAGTCAGAATTACCTTCTGCCTTAATAAGGAGAAGGGGATTAGAAAACTGTTTAAAAAAAATCAGGCAGCTGAAAGGTAGTGAACAAAACATACATTTGTGAGCTGAATCTTTATTTCATTACTCCATAACAGCCTAAGGTTGAAACCTCATTTTAAAAAAACTTAAATAGATAGAGATAATCCTTTATTGTCATTGTAACATGTACAACAAAAGCATCAAAAATCGGATTATTAAAACCAAACAAAGTCTTCAATGAAGTTTTGTATCACGTGTAAACTGACTGCCATGCAATGACAGACAAGCCCAAACTGCCCAAGTCAGCATGTGCACTGTGCTGTAAAGTGGCGCCACCTAGTGGTCAACAAGAGCTGCACAGCTGCTAGGGGCTGTGCATGTCTGACCTATTAAATGACCATAGTTTGACCATTTAAAAACATATAATAAGTATGCATAGCAGTAATTAAGCTGCTAGCTATGACACCATACCCACCAAATAATCTGGAACCATTGTTTCTGTCTAAAATACATTTAATAATTGCTACTTGTATTGGTGTATATATAGTGCTCTTATTTTATTCTTACATTTCTATATGTATAGCAAGTTTTATCCAAAGCAGACACTTGTTTGATCACCATTACCCAACAGTAAGACCACAACACCAAACCAAACGTAATAAACCATAAGGCACAGATCGCTTACAGTCCCATACATCAATTTATTTGTGGCGAGTCGCCACAATATCAACATTGACTGGCACATATGGATTTAAATAGGTTAAATCATAATTCAATTCAGTGCAGCGCATAGCACACATAGGCCTATTTGCCCAGTCCCTTTATGTCCCAGTCTATTTCTCTCACACACACAAACACATGACAACCATGACAGACCATGTGTGACATAGGCATCATTAGACCCCTTTTACTGAGATACCTGCCCCAGTATTGATCTGCTGTGCCCCACTAAAATCACACATTTGAGTTTTAACAAGCTCCTATATTTGGCAGTGGATTAATTTAGATTGATAATAATGGAAAATTAATTTATATGTTGTTCTAATCCAGAATGTCAAAGCAAAATACAAGCTGAGGAGCAGTGGTCAGGGTCTGTACACCAGAGTCGCACATATGCACATCATAGCTGGTGCACGGCCGCGCACACACAGCAATCCATGCATTGACGTGCAAAACAAAAGAAAGAAACAGACTGAGGTATGAGACAGGGACTAAATTATTAAATGTTGACCTGATTAGGTCCCACACATTTTCATTTTTATCCGTTCATATTTTTGTATTGACTTGTACAATTTTTGTGTTATTTATGTAAATAATGTGTCTTTTAAGCCGAGAGCTGCCGGAAGAAATGTCGTTGTGCTATGCATAATGACAGTAAAGATTCTTGACTTGACTAAATTAAGTTTTTGAATAACACCGATCACCTTATTATGACTAAAACATGATTGACTCCTGTATAAACTTCTTTAGAGGAGGCTGAGACAGGGAAGACGTTCAGAGAGATGAGGGTGAGAGAAGGAAGGCCTACTGTAGTTGGTAAGTTAGTTTAGTTACATAACCAGGTGGATGTTGAATGGGAAGTAAATTAGAGCTCTGTACATCAATGCATACGATCAGCTGGATTACTCTTATAACGCTATTCATCGGTGTATTATGTGAAATATGTTGTATGATACATCACATGTAGTGGTTAATGTTAACTTTGGACTCTTCATTCTGAATTTAATGAATATAACATAATGTGTGATGCTCCTGTCACACAGTCCAAATGACATTCAACAAACAGGTGAACCTGAGGCCGGAAGGGAAAGTGTGAGGAAGCCGCCTGCGTCTACGGAGACAGGGGTGTGTTTTGAAGTAGCTGGAGCATCGGTATGTTATGTGGCCTTTTGAGTTAGAAAACCTGATTAGATTGTGTTTTTCTAAATGAATGATTTGTTGACAGATTAACTTCGGATGCATGACAATCAAATTATATTATTGTGCAATGAAGAAGAATATAAAGAAATGTGCAATACAGGGCTTTGACTTTTATGCCATCAAATCATGTTCTTAATGTATGTTGAATTAAATATTTTCATAAAGATTAAAATCTGTACATTTGTTTCAGTTTCAGTAGCAGCAGTATGGCAGTGGAACAGTGGGCTAGTCAAGGGAAGTTCAGATAGCACAGTGTATAGCACATTTCATTCATGTAGCAGACATGTAAGAAAAACATTTTGAGTAATGAGGGGCCTGTGCCCCAGTAGAGCTTTATATCTAGCAACGCCCCTGGTCTGTGAACAGCTCCTCCTTTCCGTGTCAGTTGTTTCACACAACACTGTCAATCAGGACGTTATCAGCAAGCTAGTGAGGCTAGCTAAGCTAACATTAGAATACAGCTGTCATCGAGGTCAGCACCCTGTATATAGCATTGATGTACATGAGCTGCTCTGTAAGTGGATGAAGTTCATGCTAGTTCATAAACTCTGACGCTGAATGTTTTCCCCCTCAGTCCAGGGGAATATAAAAAAAAACGGGAAAGCTGATCAGTCTGACCAGTGCGATTAGCAATCCAATTGATTTGTTTCACATATTTACTGGTTTCAATCAGTGCTGCTGAAGCAGCTAGAGAGGGTCAGGAAGAGAGAGATGTAGGAGGAGGGCAGCGGCCAACACGCTGCTGTGGGAGAGCTAGTGCAGGAGGGACAGGTCAGATGAACAGCACAACAGCACAGAAGTAGTCTACTATAGCATTACTATATTTTAATACAAAAATAAAAATTCTTTGAAGGCATTTACCCACACACACGCGCACACACACAGAAGCAATAAAATCTTATCTTGTGGAAGAAGTTATTCTCACCTGAATGAGGGTAGATGCAAACATCATTAATGTTGGCCTGAGGCTGTATGGTGGAGAATATCTTGCCCTGTGGTGAACAGAACAAATAGATAAATGGCGTCAGAAACAGTCTAGACAGATCTACACCGTCCATTCCCTAGTGTTCACACAATGAGCGTGCGCAGATTTCTGACAAGTCATTGCTTTACATGGGTTCTTGTTATTGTGCTTGAAACTGCTAATGTATTTTTATGAAAACACCATCATCATCATCATCATCATCATCATCATCATTCACATGCAGAACAAGCCAGGGACATCAGCTCTTACGCTGTCTTTGTTCCAGATTTTTATAACCTTGGAGTCAGCGGACACAACCAGGTCCAGCTGCTCATGGAAGTTGAGTGACTTGATTGGCATGTTGTAGAAGTGGTCCTTCACCAGCAGAGGCTGGCTGGAGCGCAGGTCATACAGCAGCACCTAAAGGCACAGCAAACAACAGATGACAACAGACATTTAATTCTGTAAGATGCAGGCTTTCAAATGACGAGACCATAGGGAAAAAAAGTTGAGGATGTGTCTGAGACCATTACATTTTTCTCATCTACTGTCATCTTTACCAAAAGCAAACGTCTACATACATTAAACCACAGGAGCCATGACCAGGGACCCGCTCTGTTCAGTCAAGATTGACCTTGTGCTGAGAACAGTGTAACCTATTTAGGACAGACCGGTTGACATCAGCCAACTGTGGTGAGTTAATTACTCACAGGAAGAATTTAACACCATGTGGGCACCTGACAGTTTACAATAGCAACAGAGTGAGAGGAACTAGAGAATGCAGGCAGAGACCAGTGCTGTAGAGTTTCTATCTACAGTTTGATATTTAGACTGATGCACAGATGCTATAAGCAGCCATCATGAAATACAGTACTGTGTATCACATTTTTAGTAATTATTAGCACCAAACAAAGTTGGTGGAATGTTTCCCAGATCACCTTAATGACTCTGGCTCACCTGTCCTGTGCTGGTGCCTACAGCCATAGTGAGGGAGCCGTTAAACTTCAGTGCACTGACTGAGGGCAAATGTTGAACTCTGTTGACAAAAACACAAAATGAATATCAACAGAATACTAATTTAAAGGAGTAAAAAGCAAACCGAGACACAAAGACAAAAACAAGGAATGATGACAGAAACACTCTATTATGACAGGACAATAAACCAACTGACATAAAAGCTGAATACTTCTACGGTCTGCTATACTGATGCATAGCTTGCAGTTTGTTTTCATGTAGCAGAGGTGCAGGCAGTGGTGAAAAGTGCCACGTGGCTAGATCAACCAAAATCATGTGACATCTCAGTGAAATAGCCTGGTACTTACTCTGTTCCTTCAGTGAGGCTGCTCAGGGCACAGTCCAGCATGCCCACCCTTTTCCGGACACGAGGGTCCCAACATTCGACCCTTCCCTGGTGACCCAACAGGAGAAACGTCAAATAATCAGACAAAGCTTTTTACTAATAACTGGGACAAAATGAAAGAAGCTGCAGCACAAAGCTTCTCAGGTTGGCAGCTCCTAATGTAAGTGAGACGTTTATGATTAATAAAACTTCAACTCTACCCCTCAGAAATCATGTAGCATGCTTATTTTTATCATCACACTGATTTTCTTTTTTTAAACTGATGCCTCAGTTCACACACAGCCTGCTGTGGCACATACCTCAGAGGACCCTGTGGCAAACAAATGATGAACGGGGTTGATGTCACACACATTGTTCTCCCTGGTACAGAAGTAAAAAAAAAAAAAAAAAAAAAAAAAGGTGTACAGAAACTCAAAGCAATGACACCAGCAAAGAGACTTTAGTGGCGCAAGAATTTATAAATTTACACTGGAGGAATTTGTAGTTAACCACTTACTACTGGATCATTTCATTATCACTGCACATAATAATATCAATAGTTAGACAAAACACTTTGTAATACTCACACGGCATCAGTCTGAAGTGAGCTGAGGAAGCGCCCTTGTTCCAGATTCAGTCTGAACACCTCTGAGCTGAATATGAAAGCTTCAGATTATTATTACAGCCATATTCACACAGACTTTGACTCTGCATAATTTAACACATTCATCTGTGCACTGACACTGTGAAAAGTGCCACCAACAAGACTGATCTGCTTCAACTTCTTCTGTACTGTGACATCATCCGGCAGGTACTGCACTGGCCAATCATGGCCAGATAAGGCACCACTGCTCCCAGAAAACTGTTGCAATCTCATATTCTTTGATATTTTCATATTTATTTCTTTTGTTTGCATTGGAACAACACAAAAAAGAAAAAAGCCAAATCTGATCCATTCCACACAGAACTACAAAAATGGACTGGACAGAATTACTGACACTTTTTCAAAATCATGAGAACTAGTTGTATTTCAACGTGGTGCTCCTTTAATTTGTAATGTGACTCTCCTGTAGCAAATCAACAGGTGTTGGCAATATAGAAATCACACTTGGAACCAGTAAAAATTGAGAAAAGTTGATACCTAACCCTAGCTACTAAATATTAAGTTGAGGGTGTCAATATTCTGCCCAGCCCATTTTTGTTGTTTTGTGTGGAATGGATCAGATTTGGCTTTATTCTCTACTTTTTTGTGTTGTTCCAATGCAAACATGAGAAATAAACATGAGAAAACCAAAGAATCTGTGATTGCAACAGTTTTCTGGGATAAGTGGTGCCTCATCTGACAGAAATGCAGGGGTGCTAATAGTTTTGGCCATGACTTTATATGGAGCCTGGTGGATTACTTTGTAACACGAACACTGTATTTCTGCTGTTTACCCTGAGATTATCACAATACAAGCCACTAGGCTGAGTTTTTTTCTAAGGAACAAATAAATCTGTTCCTCCAACTGGACTTCCTGGGTTGTGTTTCGTTGTCTTACTGGTACATGGACAAACACTCCACAGCCACTTATGTTGTTTCAACGCAGGGTAAATGCCTGTCTGAATCCAGCTTAAGACATGCACAGGTTAAATCTGTAAGCATGCCAGAATGACAGCAGCACCTCAACATTTATCATTCAATCACACTCTCACCTCATCCCCACAAAGTAGAGGTCACAGGAGGGGTAGTGGTAAGAAAAGTCCCGTCCAAACTTTGGAACACGTGTCTTGTAGTAGTGTCCGTGCTGGGAGTGGAACTCTACGTAACGGTCAGAGTGCAGAAACACCAGCTACACAGGCACACAGGAGAACACAACATGACTTTAAAGGCAGGAATACTGAATAATGCTGAATCAAAAACACAGAGTAACACACAGCATTTCAGGGAGTTTAGCGGGACATGCACGGACACTGAATCGGACTAATATTACGAGAATAATAAATACATTAAAACTATGACCAGCTATGCTATACAGTATATGAAGATGCAAAGATTACACAGGAATTTCCAAAATACAATGCAGTTTTAACCTAGAAGTGACAATTTTCTCTTGGAAACTAAATTGATTGGTGCTAGGAAACAGATGAATATACACTGAGGGTCTACTTTATCATGTAACCTGTACAGTCTGTACTTTTATAATGTCTATAACAATTACTTTTGTTGTCACTGTTACAGATGAGATAATGTTATTAAATATGTTTTAGCACTGGGGATCATAATTAGTGCCCTTGTTAGACCTCAGTAATAAACACATTATTGAATTTACACCTGTCCAACAATGTCACCAACAACTGACATAAGCTTCATGAAGCTTCATAAAGACAGATGTAATCGCAGGGCTGTTGTAATGGGTTGCATTAATTGGTAAAGGTGGGAGAGAGCAAAGACCATCCTGTCCTCATTAGCAATAATGATTGGCTGATACGCTCATAAAGCATGCAATAAAAAATATCATAACATTTCTAATCACAAAAGGTCCTGTCCTTCTAATGACTAACTAAGGGTCCCTGGGGAAACCTGGATGACCACTGTGTCACTACCACTTTCTGACCCATTAAGTGATGGCATGACAGTACTAAGCATTTGCAAACCGGGCATAGCATCAAAGATTACACAAAGACAAACAACTCCAACAGTAAAATATTGGGGCAGCAGGGTCCTGAGTATCTTACCTTAGAATAGTCATCAGACAGGATGTCAAAGGCCACAACTTTAAGAGAGAGAGAAGAAACTCGTCAAATTTAACAGTCCATGACATGAAGGCCAAGAGACCCGGAGGTGTGTCTGCTTACTTACCATCTGAGTCCAGACAGCGCTCAAACTTCAGTGAAAGCTGATAGGTGTCATAACAACGAATCCTGGGCTTGTATGTGCCTTAAATGAATGAGATTTATTTTTTTACTAAATGAAGGAACCCACTGAGCAGGAGGGCTGTTCTGATGTCAGTCTCACCTTTAAGGAAGGTTGACTGAAACATGCCATCTTACCTGCTGCCAGGATGAACTGCCCATCTCTTGATACTCTGATAGAGGTACACACTGTGGGCATCTCAAAGTCCTGAATGAGCTCAATCCTGCGTTGGATGTCTAGGGAATAAAAACAGAAACGTCAAGGTAATGACATCCATTTTGGAGAAAATGAACCGAAACTACTGCTGCAAACTCACCGACATCTTTCTTGACAGCCACTGTGGTAAAGAAGTAGAGGTGATTAAAATTTTGCCATAAGGATAATATTAATGTGTTCTTGTGTCTTTGGTTTATTTGAGCTTAAGTCAATTTATATCACTGGAACAGCTTGTAATGAAATGAGTGGTGCGTAATCAGGGAGGAAAGCTGAACTGAGCGGTATAAAATGATGTTCTGTTGTAAAGATACGTTCCTTTGTTTATATAAAAGGTTATATTAAAGTGGCATGTTATCGAATGGTGTCTGGCACTGACATTTTCTCAGTACACAACGTCAGGATTCTTACGGCTAGCTGTGTTAGCTAAAGTTAGCCAGCAAAGTTCAAGGTAAACACTAACATTATACATTATGAAATGTAACTCATCTTATAGGAGCCATGTTTCTTACCTCTGGAAGAGACTTTCCATGGCTTAAATTGTAAATCTTCACATTATTCACACTAGATATCTGCATTGTAAGAAATAAATAAGTCTCTGTTCACACATAACACTATTACTACAACGCTGGTGATCTGCACCGAATCCACGTTGCTGCTCCGGTTCAATAACAGGAAGTGACTGTGAGTTTGCGGAAATAGGTCCGACTAGAAACACAGCAATCCCCACTCTGCAAAGTTGTTCTGAGTTTAAACGATTAAAGAAAAAAAAAAGATATTGATGAAAATGATTGAACACTGCAGTATACAGAACAGTATACATTTGCCTATAATGTTAGGTCAACTGAGGTTGCTAGCTACCACTAGCTATAGTTGCAGTAGACTTACAGATATTTCTGTTTCCAACATTATAACAATTTATTTGCTTGGAATAAATTACTGAGGCAGATAAAAACCACAGCGCCACACCTGCCAAACCAGAAAGCGAATAAAAGACCAACCTTCTCATAGAATGCATCAAACTAGAAAAAATATCATCCTCCCATAAGAATAATATACCAACTTTTACCGACACTTGGAATCCATTTCTAACCACTTTTAACTTAAACCAGATACCTGAGGCCAAGGCCGCACACATTCCCACTAACTCCTAGAAATAAAACAAGTTGCTTGTTATTTCATTATTGTTACTGTTATTAGTCCTCATTGTCCATTCTTTTTTTCTCCTCCTCTCTTTCTAATCATTTACCGATTTGTTAATTTCATTTATTTTTGTTTTATGAATATGTTTATACATAGATATCTGGGTATATATATCAGTGCAGATTCTCAGTCATCCAGGTCATAGTAAACTGAAATGAATCAACTGGACTAGGTTTCTAGGTCAAAGACGTTTCACCTCTCATCCAAGAGGCTTCATCAGTTCTGACTGACTGGTGTTGAGCCGGAGATATTTATCCCCCTCGGTGGTGTTTCAGTCCTTTGATGCCCAACAATGTCCCTGGGTATATATAAGTATGTGTATGCAAAATGTATATATTCTATTCACATGATTGACAGTGCTTTATTATTTTTTTTTATTTTATTACTACAATCATCCATTTTCTATCATCTGTCTTCTCTTTCCTTTATATTAACCCCTCCAAATTTCTTAATTTATTGGGTTTAATATTATTTTTCTTCAGTAAGTACTGAATATCAGTCTGCACAGAGTTGGATACACCTACACTACACACTTTCACACACCCAACTCAATAACTTAATTTGTATCTGTTGTCTCATCTACTGTTATGTCCTTTGTCCTGTAAATGTTTTATTTTGTGTTGCAAAAAAAAAAGCAAATAAAGGCAACCTAAACTAATTTAACCCTAAACAATGCTGCTGTACATTTTATAAAGCGCAATTAGCCTATGTGGGCCTATTAAGGCTAAGGCTGTGACACAGGCTAAGGTTTTTAAAATAGTTCACATATACACTGCTCAAAAAATAAAGGGAACACAAAAATAAGACATTCAACTATGTTGTGTTCCCTTTATTTTTTTGAGCAGTATATTAATGCATAGGTGCTAAAGTATAGAAAAAGGTTAAACTGGTGCATTTTGAGAAACACCATTGTCTGGCAACGTAAAGGCAGCATTGGAGAGCAACCAGTTACATGCTACTAATTACTGTAATTAAATTACAAAATAAATGTAATAGTAATTAGTGACTATTATTGAGAAAAAATGTGGAATTAAATTACAGTTACTAATCAAAAAGTTGGTGATTAGCGGTTATGTCTCAGTGTATTCTTTTTGGCAGCTTATACAGTATGTAGATATATAACATTCACTCTGTTGCTGTGCATCGTTAGACCTTATAAAATGCCTTTTTTGGCACATTTACAGACAGTTTGGGTCAGCAAAACCATTGAGACTAATAACACCATCAAGTGGAGGATGACTTACAAGGAACCGTCTCTACATCTAGTTAGGCTCCATTCATTTCATAGCATGAGTTCAATTTTGAATGCTGCTTTTGATCAATTCTGTTGTTTGAATTTGCACCACTTCTCATCTGCCAGTCACATCAACACAGGTTGTTCTAAGCAGTCTGGCTGTGACCAGAGCATGTGGTCATGTTGTGGGACAAGAATGACTTTCAGTGATGTAAATTCAACAGTATTTTCCTACTGAAAACAGAAAAGGGCTTTGCTTGGTGCCTGTTCATTAGGCTACATGTTTCAACAGTCATATATTGTGTTAAACCTTTAATAAAAACTTGACAGCAATAAGTGTTGAGTACGGTTGTGAGATTTACACTGCCTGGTTTACATTTATTGTGACTTGTCGAAATGTAACTGTAGATTTCGGAAATTGTCATTCTTACTGGTCAGGATACAGTTGTAGATTTATCATTCTGTAATTTCAACTAGTCAAAATGCTGTTTTAAATACCTGAAATGCAATTCTGGAAACCCTTTAAATGTTAAAACTGCTTGCCATAGGCCTCGGTTACTTGCTCAGATCACCTGGAGTGATGTAACGGCATCTTGTGATCCTACAAGACAATGGGCTGGCTGTCAGTCAGTGTCAGGTGGTGCTACTGCTTAGACTCTCCTAACTCACACTGTGGAACTGCCATTGCATGGTCATGAGGATAACCTAAAGGTATGAATCTCTGCTTTGAAATCATTTTTTTTTCACTTTGTATTTTTCTTGTTTGACTTTATGTGGGCCTTAATATTTTTGCGTTTATTTTTCTTCCATTACTCAATGAGCCGCTGACTTTATTGTGCTGTTTAGCTAACTGTATAGACACAGATGTTTCAAATTTTTTCAAAAGAAGTACATCCACCTCTGGTCTAAATTACTCAGAGGTTAGTTTTGTTCCCGCTGATGTAAAGGAGTATAAGTATAAGGAGAATAGTGAGAATCCACAGTCTGCCACAGCTTTCCTAAAAGTACGACTGTAGGTATCCATCCATGCATGCGTTGCTATTTTGTGCTATCATGTAATTGTTGCTTTTAATTTGCATTTAATGTTATAATTTAATTTGCATTCTAGTGTTTTTGGTATATGTATTTTAATATTGTGTCTACTTGTATGCATTGTTTGAAGCACTTTGAACTGCCTTTGCATATGAAAATGTGCTATATAAATAAACTTGCCTTGTCTTAACCAGCCTATATCGCGGTGGGGTGTAAGGGATTGACTGATGTAGCCATAACCAGAAAAATCATAGGTTATGCTAATTATATAACGTTTATCATAGTCCAGTCAGTGACTTAGTGGAAACCGTAATAACAGAATATAAAACATGACGTTTTAGTCAGCTTGACATGAAAGCCTATATATGCTTTTGTTGACAGGGTTAACGATGTCTGTTTGCTCTGGGTCACAGTCTATCTGGTGCCAAAGCCTGGTCCTACAGGGAGGATTCTAACTGGAGGTTTCTATGTGAAGCACTGGGAGTCATGACAGACTTGTGGCTGATTTCTGTCCCACTGGACAATACCAGTTCAACCAGTATAGAGAAACTGAAGAGCACCATTGCCAAAACAAACCTCGCTACCTGCAGCAAGTTCTCTATTCCAGAGCTCAAGGTGAGGCTGCATGTGTATCATTTGTCGCAGAGAAGAGCCTGCGGGATACATGCAAAGTATACAGAGTAAACACACGCTAGAGGGCCAGGTATGGGACAGTCTCTCTTCTTGATCTACAACAGCAGCGTTTTCAAAACAAAGAGCAACAAAAATTGTCTGAAGAATTGTCAGTGTATGTTAGTTCTGTGTTGATACCAGTACAGTAGAGTGTAGTTGAGGAGGGTGATGGTGTTTGGTGTCCTTCTCTGGTGAAGGAATAAAGTCTCAGGTTGCTCTCTACAATTTGAAGCAAAATTTCCATCTGACCCATTTCACTCAACGTGATCAGTGTACACCTTGGCTCATGTTTTAACAGCTGTTTTTCAATTCTACCAAGAACACAAACATGAGAACCCATTAAATGTGATATGTGGATATGTTCAGGCTGAATCATGAAATCCAGTGAGTTGAATCAAGAATCAAGAAATCCGGAGCTGTTGCTTAGGTTTAATGATTTGAGCTCTGACATCAGACAGGTGATGCATCAGCTGAAGTAACCCTAACTGTGCTGTCTGTGCTCTGACCTCAGGTGGGAATTCTGGACAGTCTGCTCACTGTGTCAGATGATCTCTCCAAGCTCGACACGCTGACTGAAAGGTAAACAAGTCCAAGAATGATGAACCACAATAAATATGTTTGCCATGCTCTGTTAATGAACTCATAACCTATTTGTCTCAATGGTCAGTGCATGTTTGTAGCTTAATGTGCCTTTTAGTCCTTAACTAAGACTAACAACTCTGAGCTTATGTGCAGTCTACATCATGATTAATTGATGGTCAGGGGCAGCTGATGGTTGGGTCTCCCTCCTGTTTTGAAATTCACTGTTGGAACTGACACAACAAGCATATTAAAGCCTACTTTATCTGTGACATCAAAATGTAGCCTAGGAAGATAAAACCAGACAGATATATTTTATAATTTAGTACAAATGGCTTAAACTTGATTTAAGTAACTGTTTTTTGAACCTGTTTTCAGTTAGAGGTCATTTCTTGGTTAAATTAAACCCCTGCTCCATATTATTATTTCACTGTGTATGACAGTGTCAGTCATGAAAGAATTAGGAGAAAAGAGATTTCCAGGAGAGAGGGTTATTAAAATGTGTAAATAACTCACAAATAGTGTAATTGTGGTATTTTTTGTGTTCTGGACAGTGTTATCAAAAAAACATGTCAGTGTATGAGGGAGGTGATGGAGCAGGCTGAGGACAAGGTGCTGGAAAATTCCTTAGTCAATGGAGGTGAATCTCTCTCTCTCTCTCACACACACACACACACACACACACACACACACACACACACACAGTGAGGCTGTTAATTACATTGTATCAAAACTCATTAAGTACACGGAGGCTTTGGGCTACATACACATTGCAAATGAGACTACATGCTACTTAAACCGAGCTCCATATGTGAGATCCACTCCCACAAACACACTCAGAAGTAATCAATGCCCTTTACCTTGTGCTGGCCTCCTTCATAAAGGCAGTAGGACAGGACAACAGTTGGCCAGTACAAACCAGGCTAACCAGTATCTCTGATCACTGTCCCTCATCAGACCACGGCGTGAGTCTGAGAGTCATCCTGTCACCCTTGAAAGCTTACCTCAAGTCTCTCAGGGGTATTTTATCTCTTTGTGATATGCTCTTTGAGCTGCAATGCAATGCTGTGTGACTCCTTATATAGTGTAAAGTGTGCATTCCTACTGCTTTTGCCTTCTTGTTTTCTCAACAACACTATTTCACTGTGTGGTGGTGTGCGTTGTACAGTTGTGGTGTACAATTCTACAATATCTGGTTTCTAGTTTAGGTTATGGGCTACCACTGTATTTTTTTTTCAGTGGACCTGGTGAGCTATGTGACAACCTTTCAGTGGGACAAAGCCAAGTATTCAACAGCTTTGTCCCTCTCTACCCTGACAGATGTCATCAACAAGGTACAGACTAATGACAATGAAGACTATGGGTATAAATATGGGTATTAGAGTCATAACCTCAAAAGGATACTCCAGCAGTTTGCTATTGCAAAGTCAGGACACACACACACACACACACACACCAAAAAAATAAAAATAAATAAGTAAAACGAAAATTGGAGGATCTTTGGCTTCAGTAATGTGTTGTATTTTTAAATAAAACTGTTTAATTACACAGGAATTTAAATAAAGCCCTTTAAATGTGGTCAGACCTCTCAAATGTGGGCATTAACTAGGAAATACAGAGCTGTAGAGAGATACAGCCACACCTTCATAACCCATGTTGTTAAATCAAGAGATAGAGGAGGATAAGGTTACATGAATAAAATAGACATCAGCTTCATTTTTTGGAAATGTAAAATAAAGTTAATCTCCAAATGATAGCTACCCACTACAGTAGCTAATGGTCATGTGTGGTTTTATATAATAGGCAGAGTTAGCGAGCATATTAAATCACATGTAGGTGTGAGGTAGAATTGTTTGACATGTAACAAGAGACAAATGAACAATTAACATAGGGATACATGATAATATATTTACCATTTCACTGTGTCTTAAATAAAGAATAATAAAAGCAGCCGGGTGAAAAATATTTTGCAATGCATCTTTGTGTGTGCACAGAAGCAGTATAGATACACAATGACTGAATGTCATTAAATGTATTCAGTGTACGAATTCTCATTAGTTCTCCCACGTATTCCTAATGGTTACATGTCCTATTTCTACGTGTCAGGAAGTTGCTCAGGTGGAGACAGAACTGAAGTCTCAAGCTGCGACATACAACAGTGTGAAACTAAGCTTGCAAAACCTTGAGCACAAACTAGAGTAAGTCATATCTATTTTAAAGTAAAGAAAAACACGTCATTACTTTTACTATGTAGCTGTTTAGTTAAATTATTGGTCTTTCCAGGGGGAATTTGCAGACTCGCAGTCTGGTTGACATAGTGAAGAAAGAAGACCTGGTGATCTCCGAGTACCTCACCACTCTACTGGTAGTGGTGCCCAGGTCAGAGACAGGACATGAGTGTTTGTGTGTGGATATTGCTGTGACGTTCTTCATGTGTTAATGTGTGTCTGCACGTTTCTGGTCACAGAGTGAACTACTTGCAGTGGGAGGAGACCTATGAATCCTTGTCAGAGTTTGTTGTTCCAAGGTCAAGCAGGTGAGCTGCCTTTACACACTGTTGGCCGTGAGACAGAGTCAAAGCTCTGAGTGCTTGTTGTCAGCATCCAAAAGGGCAGACTAAGTATCAATAGGTGGTCCTTTAGTGTCAGAAAGAGAGAGAGACCATCTGGTTTGGATCAGTATCAAGGAAGGAAACATTTGAAAGTTGTACAGCATCACTCTAGAAATTGAAGCATGATGAGGAACCCTAAATGAAAAAATAACCTGTCTTATAGAATGTCAACTAATACATAACTAAGTGCTGTCACACCCACATTCATTAACCCATGTTTAATTGCCAAAGGGTAATTTCTTTTTCAAACAGGTAAACCACACTTGAAGGTAAATATAGATCCAACACTGGCTGTCCTTTTGCATGACAGTAACATTTAGTCTTTTTTGTTGGTGAATGTAGGTTTTTTAAAGTTGATGCTAGTTTGTTTCAGTAGCTGGCGTCTCAGTATATCCACTCTATGTTACAATACCAACAAACAGAGATTCACTACATTGTGTCAGGTTGGAAGAACTCTACCTATAAAACTAGTGACCTGGTGATCTCCTATTTCCAGCACAGCTCTGTCAACATGACCTGAGGTCTAATCAGTTAGGATAACTAAAAACACCATTGTGGGTGTGTCAGCTCTGTAAACATGGAAGAGTTAAAACAAATAAAAGAGGTAAAATGCATTTCACGATATTATATATATTTTTCATTTTATGTAGCATTTAATGTAACTTGCAGTTACATAACAGGTGGTGTATTGAATGCCAGTGTTGTCCAGCAGATGACAGCCTAGCCCACAGGACACTGTTACAATGTGAAAGGCCATCGCGTCCCTTGGCCTTGTCCCCAGGCTGTAATTAGACAGTTGGTTGTTTTTCATTTTGACACTGATGTGTCTTCTTCTCAAAAAAGAAAAACAGATAACTTGTACTACCTCACAAAAGCTAGTAGAAAAGAAACAGTGTTTTGCATTTAATATTGCCAGCTCTATGCTTTCCTCTACTGGACAACATTGCAGTACACCTGTGCACTTTGCTTCTGTGTTGGGATGCAGTTTTAATGTGGCATGCAAAAGTCATGTCACAATTAAAAACAATGATGATGGCACGTTACAATCAGTGGATCACCAAACTGAGCCGAGTGCATCCTGAGCAGACCATACAGACACAATTATCAGACCACGCTACTACAGTACATCAGTATCACCCAGCTTTCATTGGTACAACTGCTGATTTCATTTTCTTACTGTTGTTTTTGTGTATTGTTTTCCACTGTGACCTATTGTTTCACGTTGCCATGTGTTGTGCTAATTTTCTGCTATTATTTTGTGTGACCCTCAGGAAACTGTATGAGGATGAAGAGGGGGGAGTTTACTCTGTTACACTTTTCAAAAAATCTGTGAATGAGTTCAAAGCCAAAGCTCAGGAGAGCAAGTAAGCAGGACAGATTGCCTGAAAACACCCTGTCAAGTCAGAGCTTTGTTGTCTGTGCCAGTTAACATAGTGTAGAATATCATTCACACAGGTTCACTGTGCGTGAGTATAGCTTTGATCTGGAGGAGCAGATGCAGGAGGAGATTAAACGGCTTAGTGGTACCAAAAAGGAACAATATGTGAGTCAAGCATCATATATGTTCTCTATAGAGATTCTGGTGTGTGTTTGTGTTGTAGTGTATCATACATGTGCATGCCTCATTCATAGGGAGTCTTTGTGCGTTGGCTGAAGCTGCATTTCAGTGAGGTGTTTATTACCTGGATTCACTTGAAAGCACTGAGAGTGTTTGTGGAATCAGTCCTCAGGTCAGTGCTGATAATGTTCGTGGTTTTCTCTCAACAATAATGAGCAATGTCATGTGATTGATGTGATAATGTCCTCTGCCAGGTATGGATTACCTGTGAACTATCAAGCTCTGCTGTTGCAGACTAACAGAAAGCGCTCACAGAGACTCAGAAAAGAACTGGCCTCACTCTTCCTGCATCTGGACCCCACTGCCACTGCCAGCAAGGCAGATGTAAGAAGCCAATCTCACCTTCACTGATTTATGTTGACAATTAGTATGTCATTGTTCCATTCCTAGTTCCTCTAACGCACAGAAGAAATGGCTTGAAGACACAAACATAGTATGGGTGTTCACTCCTGACCTTAGGTATAAAACTAATTCAACTTACTAGTTTTTCCATATGGTTTCAACCACATCTCACAGTCTTAAACACTGAATTAAAACTGGCTGTCACATGATGTCACCTAAGTCAGTCGCAGCTAAAAACATTGAGTATTGATATACTGAGTATAGAGTTATATCAGAATGTATAAAATGTCTGTTTTTCCTACTCTATCATACAGCAGATCAGTATGACACCACATCACACCAACCTATAGCCAGTAGTGGAAAGAAGCTAAATGCAAAATAACAAATTCCCTAATTCAGTAACATCTTTTCCTTGTAAGGTAAAATTCAGACACTGACTGCAGTTACATGCATTTAAGTATAACCAGGTTATAATTGGCTTTCTTCTTCCGGTAAGCTGATTTGTTAACAGGAAACCTGGTTTCTGTAATCAGGGTGGGGAGATTAGAAAAACCTGAGAAGCCCAAACAGATCTCTCCTGGAAAATGTCAGTTTCTCTGCCACATATACGTGTAACCAGGTTTTGATTGATTGATTGATTGATTGATTTATTCTTTCAAACATGCAGACAGAACAGAACAGAACAATGATCAAATGACAATAACACACATGATTACACATATCCAACCAATACTAATTCAAAATCAATTTGCTTACACCTAATACATGTTTGAATGGAGTAGGAAGAAGTCAGACTTATCCAGTCCTACCCCATGACATCATATTATACAAAATTTATGCAACATTGGCTGCAAGCAATATCACTACATAGATAAAGCAGATTGTTACTTATTCGTGCATATATCTTGTATAACACATACATTTATATTTATATTTAAACTCCTTAATTCTGGTACTATTTTTCATGTCCACAGTTAAGTTATTCCATAGTTTGACCCCACTTATAGAAATACAAAATCTTTTTTTGGTTGTTCGTATAGCATGAACTTTTAAATTTAAATGTCCCCTTAAGTTATACCCCCCTTCCCTTTCACCAAATAGCTTTTGGATTCCACCAGGCAATAAATTGTTCCTGGCCTTATACATAAACACAGCAGTCTTATATCCCACTAAATCAAAGAATTTTAACAATTTAGACTGTATGAAAACTACATTTGTATGATCCCTATACCCCATCTTGTGCACAACTCTTATCGCTCTCTTCTGTAATATGTACAATGGTTGAAGTGAACTCCTGTATGTATTGGAAAAATCCCGGTTTCCAGTCAGCTTTCTACAAGAACACATGTGCAAAAGACAAGCTGTAAGGTTATTTGGGTGCATGTGACTGGAGAAAAACAGGACGTTGTCAGACTATTATCACCGTGGTGAGCAGCATCTCCTCTGGTACGTCGCATGTTTTTATTGTATTGTACAATTGGTATTTTTTCCTGATGGTTGTACATAATCAGTAACTGGGGGTGGTGGGCAGATTACCTAGGAGCTCAAGCATACTGGGGTACTTGAGTAATCCAATTACTGCCATGCGCGTACACGCATTATCTGATTTCTGCCATAACCTGGTTACTTAAGTGCATGTCAACACAGTCACTGTTTCCTCCTGTAATCTGAGAGACACACATTACAGAGAACACATGCTATATATGCGTGAGTATTAATTAATATATACTGTAGCTAAGGGGAGACAGAGAGAGATTCTCACATTAACACAACATATGTGAAACTAGGAGAATATAAATGAATACATGCAAATAATGACTGATAATGATTAACATGTGACCACATTAGTTTACTTTCACATATTGTTAAAGATCAAATTATTTAACAGTACTTTCAGCCACGCAGATATTATGGTCACGTTTTAGAGAAATGCCAAAGTTATGTTTGAGGGAATGAAGAAGCAGCCATGCCTTTACATGCGTTGTCCAGCAGAGAGCACCAACAAGTTTATTTTTCAACTGTAAAATGTACGCCGCTCACACTGCACACATTCAAGGGCTCATTCCCAAGAAATGTTTCACATCATTCTCAGCTGGATGTGTAACTAGACTGTAAATACACTCACTGGCCTCTTTATTAGGTACACATGTGCAATTGTATGCAACTCAGTGCAACACGTCTGCTTTAACATCTGTGCTTATGAAGCTAAAATGTTCCAGTCTCTATATTTTTGTCCTCGTTAGCTACATACACGAGAGGGTCAGAATATTAGGAACACCTCTGAATATAACGTAGGCCAGTACAACACCACCTTTAACTATGACCCCAATAATAAACATATAATTCACTGTATACATTTATGACAATTTCACCAAAAACTGAAACATTTTGAGACAGAAGTGCTGCATAAGTACATACAACTGTACAGGTGTACCTAATAAAGTGGCCGGTGAGTGTATGTATGCTAACAAATTTGCCATATCATCTTAAGAGGTGATAATATTTCTGTTTACTGCTTGTTTCTGCTGGCAGCAAATAATAATAATAATAATACAAATATCTGTTTAATTTTGTTTAGAGGGTAAGAATGCATCTTCCACCATAGCCAGTTCATTAAAGCTTTCTCACTGAGCCTGTTGCTGACATCAACTGCTGTGTTTGGAAGGTTCAAACATAGTGAAGCTTTACTATCTACTGCTGATACTCAGGTCAAAACCAACTGAAGTCAACTTATTCAGAGAGTGACTGTGGTGAGCTAGTTATAAGGGAATTCCATTATGCTTTTACATTTTCATAAGACCAGTGACAGTCCAGTAAGTAAAATGTTTGTCCAGATTTCATATTGATGTCAGAGTGGAGAAGAGCACTGTCGACCATGTGCTGTCCAGCCTACTTGAAATGACATCTCTCTCATGCAAATTCATCCATGGCCCTGCCAGACTGTGGTGAGGAAAGTGACACCGTGGGCTACTGTGCGGCACGCACATTTAGTTAACACGAATAAAGCCAGCATAACCATAGTACATAATATGTATCTGAATATGTATGGTGCACAAACACTCCTGAAGTACAAAGCTGGGTTTTAACGGCAGGATATGTGTGTTTTCTGTCTCTGTCTGCCAAGCAGATCAACTGCGACATCCCAGGACTCTACCAGCAGGAGTACTTCCCCTACATCTGCTTTCCAATCAACACCAACATGCTGGACATCAGCTAGCAGTCAGCAAAAAAAGCACTCACATAAAACCCATCTAGTGAAGAAAAAATTTCTTGAATGTCTTTTCAACATTTTTCTTAAGCCAGAAAGAACGAACTCCTTCAAACAAGGGCATAAATAATCCTGTCATGTAGACAGAGGATGAATTTGGGTCCTCCTCTAAACAGGGTCAGCACACCACTTTACTACACTGGCTGTACATGGAACTATTTAAATGCGGCTAATATCTAAAAAATATTCAGTGTTTTCTTTTGAAAGAACTTGTACTATAAATGTTGATGTCATTGTACAGCTTTACACATTTTAAGTGAGCATTCTTCCTACAAATCTTAAAGCCATCACAGTGTAATAAAGTGGATTTATTTATTCAAGGTTGAGTATTATTTAAAGGAAATGTCCATAATGTTGTTTGGTGCATTATACCACATATTCTGTGGGTAAGGCACGAGTACAGCACTTCTCTTTTCTCTTCTCTGATCAGAATGTTTGTAAATGTGATGCTATCAATGGCAGAAGACGCACTCAGATACTAAAAGTAATGGCACTGTTTGCAATTTCCTGGTTTTCTGCCTAAATTGGTCATGAAATGTGATCTAATCTTCACCAAAGTCACAAATATCAACAAACGCCAATAATTCTAATGTGATAAAAGACAAATGGTCATGATCTTTCATGTCTTTGTTGAACATAACTGTTAAGCATACAAAGTGATGGTGGAAAAAGTAATGGAAACAGTGTTTTAATAACTTGTTGAATTGCCTTTGGCAACAATAACCTTCCTCCTCATTTCATTGATTGGACTCCAGGTTTGCTAACACCTGGCACCAGTTAACATTTAATGACATCAGAAGCCTAATATTTTATAAGCTTAGAAATATTGTGTTTGTTGATATTTGTGGCTCTGGTGAAGATCAGATCACATTTCATGGCCAATTTATGTAGAAAACCTGGAAATTGCAAACAGTGCCATTACTTTTTCTTGTGACTCTAAGTAGCAATACTACAATCAAAATCCTACATAAAATGATAATCTCTTAGATTTTCATGAAATAAGATGCTATTTTTATCATATTTATAGTCAGGATTTGTTCAGCAATAACATTTAGTGTGAATGCATTCAGTCTATATAGTAGTACTCACTGATAGTGGTGGGGTCTGCCATTCCTGTACATGCTCTTACCACCAGTAGCCATTGGTGTAGTGAAATCTTATGCATTGTAACTTCAGATTTTTAAAGTATCGACAACCCAAATGTCAGCTGTCGAGTTACTTTGTGGGTTAATGTACTGTTGGTGCCAGGTTTTGATAAGGAAGAAGAATGCATGGAATAAAGAAGATGACATCTTGGGTTCTGCAAGTTTAATCTTTTTAACTGGTTATTATGAGACAAAAAATTTTATGGAAATATAATGCTAAATTAATGAAGTATTCTTTTACTCTAAATTCAGTCAGGTATCTTAGTTTACACACAAGACAGACACACATTTGTTTTCATATTTGATCTATTATGTAAAATCTTAATCTGAAAAAAGCATTAACATTAGTTGTCAGAGTAAAAACTATAAGATTTCCCTCTGAAATATAGAAATGTAAACTAGTAATTTTTCATTGAAATGTAGTAATAAATACCTGGGACCTGACTTATTTCAGTGTGTGGGCAACCTCTCTTTTGCCTTACAAGTTAGCAATTATGCTGAGTGTTATGTATCACATGGTCACCAGAGAGAGCATGGTCTCTGTTCTGTGCAGTACTCAGTTTGACAACATATCATAAATGATAACTGAGCAATATGTTACGTGTTGGAAATGTTCTTTTCAAAATAAGCAACAATGTAAATTACACTAATTAATTAATCTCTATAATGTAAAATTATAGGCCTATATATCGGCAATAGGAGCCTAATCACTATGGAAAATGTGTTGTTTTGTATACGGTGCAGAGCTGATTAATAATACTATTAATTATTGACTGAACTGTCTTTATAACCAACAAATAGACTTGTTCTCTCTCCCCCTCTCTCGCATACATACAGAGAGAGGGAGGGAGGGAGGGAGAGAGAGAGAGAGAGAGAGAGAACGAGAGGTGGGACGTGTTAAAAGCTGGCCGTTCAAGCTGTGCCATTCAGTGCACGAAACAGCCTCGGCAGGAGACGTTTTACGCGCTGAAATAATGGACGGTAATTAGTAGGCTTTACCTTTGCATTAGAGGATTTATACTGATTCAGCCAAAAATCTAGCAAAATGTGGACAATTCCGAAGCCAAATTACAGAACAGGTTTGTGTGACGAGGGGGAGATTGCTGTGAACATCGGTGGAGTTCGACTGGTGCTTTTCGAGGATGTTTTGAACCGCTACCCGGAGAGCAGACTGGCTGAGTTGGTGAACTGCTCCACTCAGAATTATGAACTTATCTCGTCGCTTTGTGATGACTTTGATCCAGGCAGAAAAGAGTTTTACTTTGACCGAGATCCAGATTCTTTCAAGTGCATCATAGACGTTTACTATTTTGATGAAATCCACATCAAAAGCGGCATTTGCCCTATCTGTTTCCTCAAGGAGATGGAGTTCTGGAAAATAGACCAAAGTGCTTTAGACGAATGTTGTAAAAGTTACCTAAGTGAAAAGGAGGAGGAGCTGAAAGAGATTGCAAATAAAGTGAAGGTGATTTTAGAGGATCTGGAGGTGGATCAGTGCATTACGCGCATTCAGCGGTGCCAGAGGTTTCTGTGGAAGCTATTGGAGAAGCCGGGTTCTTCCTTGCCGGCACGCATCATCGCCATAGCATCCTTCCTCTTCATCCTGATCTCGGCAGTGGTGATGTGCATGGGAACCATCCCGGAACTCCAGGTCACAGACTCCGAAGGGAAACTGGTGGAACATCCGACCTTGGAGGCGATCGAGACCGTTTGTATGTTATGGTTCACTGCAGAGTATGTCCTGCGCCTCGCCTCCTCTCCGAACAAGCTGCGCTTTGCACTCTCCATCATGAACATCATAGACTTTATGACTATCATGCCTTTCTACGTGGTCCTGTCCCTCACCTATCTCGGCACTACATCCATGATGGAGCTGGTTAACGTCCAACAGGCTGTGCAGGCGCTCCGCATCATGCGTATCGCGCGTATCTTCAAGCTGGCGCGCCACTCCGCAGGGCTGCAAACTCTGACCTATGCCCTGAAGAGGAGCCTCAAAGAGCTAGGGCTGCTCCTCATGTACATGGGCGTGGGGATCTTCGTGTTCTCGGCGCTGGCCTATACCATGGAGCAAAGCCACCCGGAGACTCTTTTCAGAAGCATCCCACAGTCCTTTTGGTGGGCCATTATCACTATGACCACGGTGGGTTATGGTGACATCTACCCCAAAACCACGCTCGGCAAGTGCAACGCAGCCGTGAGCTTTCTATGTGGGGTGATAGCCATCGCCTTGCCCATCCACCCCATTATTAATAACTTTGTTATCTTCTACAATAAGCAGAAAGTGCTGGAGACTGCAGCAAAGCACGAAGTGGAGCTGATGGAGCTGAAGTCTGGCAGGCAGGCACGCCGAAAAAGTAGGAATTAAGATGCGTCTGCGCGCAGCAACAGTTTCAGCAAGTTACCACTATTTAAAAGTTATTGTCATTAGACTGAATAATAAAAGCGATTTCGCATTCAAATAAATGTGAACATTTAACAGCATTTGTCCATAATGGAGTGCACCAAAAAAAAATAAAAAAAATTCAAACATATAAAACTGAAATTTACTTATAAAACATGTTAGGAATCTGCATTCAAGACTTGCAGACACTCTGGAAGCTTGTGGCCCCTGTGTATATACCGCCATAATAGAGCTGTTGTATTTACTCTACTGTTGCTTTCACTGGGGAAAATGTGGTGTTGCTTTGGCCTCTGGTTCATGTGTGTTGCCTACAAGGCTTATCACTGTGAAGGCAGTTGTTATAGAATTAAAACTTGTGCATGAAAAATAAAATGCATAGAAAATCACTGGATAAATTGTGAATAAAGGTGACTGAAACAAATCTTTAATAGTACAAATACAATTTCAGTTAAAGGATCGGTTCACATTTATTTCAGGTCTGTCCTAAAACAATTGTCAGGTGCTCATCTAGATTCTGATATCATTGTTTTCATGGCAGCGTGTTAGATGGGAACTTATAGTGTGTGTGGACTTTGTATTATTAAGCAATGTCCCACACAGGAAAATTAGAGAAGCTATACTTATGACTAAAGTGTGTCATAAAATGCAACCCCCAGAAAATGGATGGGACTAAAAAAAAATTAATCTCATTATGGTATCTACTCTAAAATCACTATATTGGAATATCGTGTTTGAAGACAGCTTTCAAATGACATGCCCTGTGTGTTTCGCTGAGCTCACCGTCACCAGGCCCACTGTCATACTCTGGGCCCAACAGAACCTGTGCTCCATCAGAGCCATGCAGGTTCCAGTCAAGCAGAACCGCGCTGCAGATTTAATGTCTTGAGGCGGGCCTCAGCGCCACGACGTGGACGCAGCGTGGTTCCCAACGCTGTTGCAGGTGTGGCAAATCCTGTGGCACATAGACGTGCTCTCCTTGCTGGATGGCGCGATTCAGTACCCCATGACAGGGCAGCGCCTGTAGGCTTGGCCCCTGCACAGGAATGACTGAAGAGCCTGCTTCCAGCGGTCGTGCATGTGTCAGAGCGTGGCCCCGTCAACGGCGGCTTCTTAGTTAGTGAAATGGTCTGTTTTTCAGCGGTGGTGCATGGAGAGAGGCTCAGCCCCCACATCATGCATAGGTGCTGGTTTTCATACAGACCCTGGTAGACAGAAACCTGGCTCTGTCTACTGTAAAAGCTTGTGCTGCGGCCATTTCGTCCTGCTATGAGGGGTTTTTGGTGAAACACTTCCTGGGAGGAGTGGGCAGACAGCAGCCTTTGGCACTTTCAGTGACACCACAGTGGGATCTGCCCCTGGTTTTAAGCCTGTTCGAGGGACCCCCATTCGAGCCCATAGCACAGATTTCTCTCAGACACCTCTTGCTGAAGGCTGCGCTCCTCGTAGCCCTGGATGTCGGCCCGGCCAATATACAGGCTTATGTAAGCCAGACACTAATAAGTTTTAGTGCATCTCAAACCCAAAGAATATCATCCCTCCTATTTCAAGAGGTCAAATTCATACAGACTCAACAAGTACTGGGTTACCACAGCTAATAAGTCTGCAAGCACACAGAGATGTTGGTTTTGTCCACAAGAATGAAGATTTATTTGAGTCAGTGTATAAGTTAACAGTGAAGCAATACTTAAAAAGACCTAACACCAGAAAGTAAAATACCCTTGAAAAGAAGCTACTCATTAGTGCAGAACAAGAATAAAATGGCCAGAGTCAACAGGTAGGAAAACAACCATTAAATAAACACCGCAACAGTCAATTAATCATAAATCAACAAACCAAACATAAGAGGGTCTTGCCTCCCTGTATGTCAAACCATTTACATACTGCTCATACACCATAAAATCGACCAAACCCTAACTTGGGTGGTATTTATATCCGTGATCAACACAACAAATTGCTCACCTGGCGGTATAGGCGTGGCCAACCTGCCGGTTACACCGGTGAAACCGACCCAGCGTATACGGGAAAGAAAATATCTTTTTTTCGATCCAGTCATCTCCCAGGACGGCTTCTCTCTTCCCCCACAAAGAGATGAGTCGGAAAGAGAGCTCCATACCCTCTGCTCTCTGGTTCCTTTTGTTGTGCAAAGCATGAGTGCACACACACACACACACACACACACACACACACATTGGTCTTATTCGCTCGGACATCTGGTGGTTACACACTGACACTGTATGCGACTATCGCCTGACCATTCGGTCAAAACAAAGCTGTGGATGCGTGTGTTTTTACTGTGCGCACACACGCTCTCTGTGCGCACTCCTGTCCTCCGCTGTCGGCCCTGCCTGCCTGAACGTAGCTGGCTGCCGACATTTGGTTCCTTTTGTTCTTTTTCCATAAAAAAAAAAAATTAAAAAACAGAAAGGGAGAAAGGGAAAGAAAAGCGCACACGCTCACTGTGCGTCCTTCTCCTCTGATAAACATAATGACCATCCCTGCCTTCTCACGGTGGCTGTCAGGTTCTGTATGGAGCATGATTGTACCTGCTTCTCAGACAAGGCCTGTTGGAGGAGAGAGGATGTTGTACTTGGTCTGCTACTGTGGGATGTAACGAGCTATGATGTTGTGTGTAATGCTCTTGGGCGGCGGTGTGCCAGCAGGGCACTGACTACATCCAGCTGCGCTGTTATCCCAGTAGCGACAGCTCTTAGAGGGCGAAGCCTAAACGAAATAGAACGATGGTTACTTACAGTAACCCAAGCTCCTATGACAGGGCTAGCCCTCTAAGCTGGCAGCCCTGCTGTCTCCACCCCCGCCAGCTGGCAAAGGGAGCCGAACTCAGGTCACATAGGTTTTTATGCGGCCACAGCAAACCTGAGTGGAGACAGAGCAGTGCAGGGCACAGGGCGCGAGAGAAATCTCTCCAGGACTGCGCATGCGCAAGTGATAAGCCCGATAGCTACAGCTCTGCGAGGGCTACGCCTATACTCATAGAAGCTTGGGTTACTATACATGACCATCGTTACAACGATCATACTGACAGCGTCATGCTTCCTAAATCCTCAGTTAGGATTTCTGTTAATGGAGTCTACAACAGTTTGTTCATAAAAGAACAAAAGTAACATCAATATGTAAGAGAACATGCATTTAATCTCTGTCTGTGAATGACATTCAAATCTGAAGCCACAAGACACACCTTTGCTGATGTGGCATTAATTTGCCAAAGGTTTTATTCCAAAACTAAATATATATATATATAAAATCCTGTTTTAATTCTGTTTTCCCACAGTGATTTAGTGTTTTATTTTTTTCCTCCCAGCAACCATTTTGTGTAGAAACCACACAAAGTAGGTTTTGTTCCACTGAGACCATTGTGTTGTACATGAGGCATGTATAATGGCTTCACTCAGTGGGTTTTGTAATCTAGCTGAATAGCACTGTTGATCATGTGAAATGTGTGTATATGTCTGTGTGCCCCATGTTGCTGTACAAGTGTCTGTGATTATCCGTGTGTGTGTGTTGTGTGTGACACGATCCAAGGCAGCGAGCTGTGAAAAACTGTTTCCCCAGCAGGAAAACACTTTAGAGTAAGGCTATATACACCCACACACACTGAACACTCACCTGTCTCCCAACCACCACCCCACCCACTGCTTCTCTCTGTCTGCTCTGCGTCTCCTTCCTTAATCTTGCCTCCACCTCCTCATCCTCCGTCTCAGATGATGATCTGTCAGCTTCACTGGCTGAGAGAGCAGCGATATGTAAAGTGTTACTGCTGTCAAATTTTGAAAGTGTGTAGTAACTTTACACTTATAACTTCAAATTTTAAAAATACATACTGTATTGTGCTATGAAGTTACAAATGCAAGGAATTGGTGACTGTTCATTAGCATTGATAATATGAAGGATCTGTGTGAGGATGAGGGCAAATTTTGAGACATGAGCTGACACTGATAACCAAATATGCATGCTTTAGCAGTCATTACAGATGACTCAGTCTCACTCCTACTGTGTAGAAGAAACACATAGAGGTTGAAATTATATGTTGCTGACCACAGCCAGTAATGATCTTTAGAAATGGAAGAGAAAAACTGATGTCAGATCAAAATGCACAAAGTTGCATCACTAACTTACAATTCTAATGTGTCTGTGGCTCTTCTGCTATGTTTGATCAGTGGCAACCTGTAAACATGCTTCAGAGCTGTGAGACCCTCTGTCCAGTGTGTGTAGATGCTTCACAGGAGTGGCCTCCCATGGTCCTGACGATCCCAGCTTACCTGTGTGTGGCATGTTTTTCTATACTTGTGGGAGACACCAAATGATGTCCACATTTAGTTGATGCTAAATTCATTTTCTGAATTGCTTAAAGCTGAACTAAACTGCATATACTTTGATAAAGGAAATCATAATGTTAATTCATTGTAGCAGCACAACAGAGAAGAAAATATGTATTTTTATTTGGATAAAAAAAAGACACAATGAGTAGCTGGCAGGTGCAGAAGTCTCACTTTAATATACTTTAATATATCAAATACTTGCAATGCAGGCAGCACAGTGGGTGGGCAGATGGCACAGCGGAACAGTGGTTAGTGCTGTCACCCCACAGCGAGAAGGTTCCAGGCCAACCCAAAGCCTTTCTGACGAAGTTTGTATATTCTCCCTGTGCCTGCATGGGTTCTGCGTGGGCGACTCTACATTGCTTGTAGGAGTGAGCGTGGGCGGGTGTGGTTGTTTGTCTTTAACTGTGAGTCCTGTGATAGACTGGCAACCTGTCCACAGTATACCCAGCCTCTCACCCAATATCAGCTGGGATAGGCCCCCCACCCCTGTTCGGGACAAAGCAGTATAGATAATGGATGCATGGAAAAACTACAGCTACACTGTGCTAACTGATGCACAAGAATCATACAATAGAATTTCACCCCGTGTCAACCCTTGGTTTAATTTGTTCAAAGCAGGCACACAGGGCCATCCCTCATTGCTGCTAGTTCTAGCTGTCAGCAGCATTCAGCCTTCCTTCATCTTGTTGGAAGACACTATCACACATTATTAGAAAATTCAAGGGGCAAAGTAAGCAACACAGAAAGCAAGTGGAAGTTTTTTGTTAGGAC